AGTCATATCCCTGCCTTGTTTAAATCTTTTAGTGTTATCTTTCCAGAAAACCACTCTGGTAGAGGTGGGAAGAATTGATCCGATAATGATGGAAATTTATGAGAAGCAAGGCCCATGCTCTACCAGGCAAGAAATCTGGAAATAAAACTTACAAAAATCTCTGACTTGTGAAACTTATGTTCAGGCAGGGTGAGACAGACTAGAACAACAAGTTAAATAAATAAGCAAATTATTTGTTAGAAGGAATCAGTGCAATGGACAAAATATAGTACAGGGTAAAGAGCGTTCCACTCTGGTGAGTGGAGGGAAGGTCGCGCTATGAAGTAAGATGATTAAACTAGGAGAATAAGAACATTCAAACAAACACATAAGGGGTCTGAGAGAGTTTAAATTCCAGATATCTAAGAAAGTGCGTGGTCCTACGGTTGTCACATGTTTAACACATTTGAGAAACAGCAAGTATGTTGGCGTGGCTGAAAAGAGACTTTTAAAACCAGGACAGAGGAAAAAGAGATGAGGTCAGAAAGATAATAGAATCCCGATCTTGTAAGAGTGTCTGGGCCTTTAATTTTTACATTGAGTGAAATGGAAAGGCTGTGGAATATGTTGGGCACGGAAGTGATATGATCTTTCTTATGATTTAAAAAGAATCATTCTGGGATCTCCATTGGAATTAAAATGTACTGGGGGGAGATTGGGAGTAGGGAGGCAGATTAGCTGACGACAGCAGGGATCCAGGCAAGAGGAGACAACAGAGAAGAGAGAGTAGCAGTGAAGATGATAATTAGTGGTTCAGTGGTGGACATATTCTGGAAGTAAATGCGTTATGATTGCCTGGTGTTTTGGATGAGAAGATGAGAGAAAGAGAGGGGTCGACAATGCTTCCAAGGCCTTTTCTCTGCACAAAGTGGAAAGATGGAGTTTTCATCAGTGGGTATAGGGGAGGCTGTGGATGAAACAGGTTTGGGAAAGAAGAATGCAAGTTCAGCTTTGGATATATCACACTTAATGTGCACATTAGATATCCAAATGAAATTGTCGAGTCTCGAGTTTGGAAGAGAGCTCTGATATGGAAATAGACATTTGAGACTTGAAGGCATGTAGATGCTATTCAAAGTCACAGAACAGGACAAGTTTGCCACAAATTTAAGTGAAGATTGGGAAGAGAAGAGACCAAAAAACAAAACTTGGAGCATTGGATCTAAGAGATAAGGTGGAGCCAGACATGGAATTTGAGAACCAATAATGAGAACCAAGTAGGAAGGCATGGAACTGAGTGCAAAGAGAAATATCCAAGCATAGCACCTCTGGTACAAGAATATTTAAGGGATGAAAGGAGGCTAAGAATTAGTGGGTGGATAGGAAGAGACACTAGTGTCCACTAAGGTAAAGAAGAAGATTTTAAAGAAGGATATTTCTCAAACCACTTAATGTCGTCAAAAATTCAGTTTTCTTTCATGGGTAAAGTTATATGGCACCTAAAATTTAGATTAAATCCAAAAAATTTCTGAGACTATTTCTATCCCTCAGTCTGAAATTCCTGTTCTTTTATTTCGTTTGTATCTTAGTGGCTCTAGTTTCTGGCGTCTCAACTAATATCTGGCATCTATCTCTCGAACAAGCCATTTAAAACTGAATTTTCAGTTGTGCTGTCTTTATTGCCCAGTCTAAACTTCCCCGTTTCCCACAACATACTCAGCTCCACGATCTCAGTCTTTCAGGGAAGTCCCTAGAACCACCAAACAACATTATCAGAATTGCAGCATAGATGGGATTTCTGAAGCTAATTGTTGTCAGGGAATGTGAAATCAGCTAAGATCCAAAAAGTCATTATTAGATTTGGTAATTACTGATATTTGCAAGTGCATTTTCGAATAACTGGTTTAATGGGAATCCAGACTACAGTGTGCTGAAAGAATTCCCAAAGAAGAGGTTAAGAATTAGAGAAAGAGTGGTCAATTCTTTGTGGGTTTTGTTGCTGTTTGTTTTTGTTAGTCTGTTGCCCAGGCTGGAGTGCAATGGCCCTATCTTGGCTCACTGCAACCTCTGCCTCCTAGGTTCAAGCGATTCTGCCTCAGCTTCCCAAGTAGCTGAGATTACAGTCACGTGCCACCACGCTCTGCTAATTTTTGTATTTTTAGTAGAGATGGGGTTTCACCATGTTGGCCAAGCCGGTCTTGAACTCATGAGCTCAAGTGATCCTCCCACTTTGGCCTCAAAAAGTCCTGGGATTACAGGTGTGAGCCACTGCACCCAGCCAGAAAGAGTGGTCAATTATTTGAATAAAATTTTTAAGAGTGTAGAAAGGATGGAGGAAGGTTTTGTTTTATTCTGTCTTGTTTTTGGAAAGAATTACTAATAATAGCAAGATGGAGAAAAGGAGCGCTTAGAGAGGGAATTGTCAATAATTTTGAAAATTAAATTATTCATTAAGTAAGGATTCTTGGAAGGGGGTACTAGGGCAAGGTGGAAATTTTACAATGTCTGAATAATTACAAATTAAATCGTATTTCTCAAAATTTCAAAATAATATCACATGGAGTGAATCAAATATAATACCATTAATTGCTGTTTATAGGAGAATGGGAATACATTGTGAATTACTTCCCACTTTATACTTTTATGGAAAGTGAATGTATGGAAGCATTTAACTGAACAATATTTCTGTGGCTTTGTGAAGCTACTTCTACTTTGCCATGTCATTCTCTTATATAAAGTCGGTCTCTTCCATTGACTTTATGTATTTCCATTTATTAGGTTGTAATAAGTGTTTAACTTAATGTATTTCTTTTCAGAAACCTCAGAACAAAATAAATGTCTCATCATTCTATTATATTGTCACATTTTTCTGGAAAATGTCTACTACTGCCTACTGTCTGTGATAGATATTTCATCACTTTTCATCTCTTGTTAAACTCGAATCACCTCTTTCCCAACGTTTCTATTCCATCTCAAAATACTGATAGCTTAGCTTTATGTTTTATTGAAGGAAAGACTGAAGTCAGGAGAGAGGACCTCCTCATCCTTCCACTACAAAATGTACACCAATACCCACATCGGCGCCAGTCACTCCCTTGCCCAAACATACATTCTTTCTTTCTGATTTTCATACTACACCTTCTCCTGCTGACTTCCCAGCTACCAATATGACCGTTTCTTCTCAGTCTCCATCATATTTACCTGTTCTAAATAGTTGAGTTCCACAGGTGATTTAGTTACATATTTCCATACAAGTTATCCTGAAATAGAAGCATAAAACAGCAAACATTTATTACATTTGTTTTACACACACACACACACACACACACACGCACACACACGTATGTATATATACATATATAAATGGCATCTCCATCCTCTCAGGCCAGGAAATAGAACATTGTTTCTGACATTTCCCTCTCCCTGACCTACTACATCATTCTATCACCTAAATTCTATCAACTATCTTCAAAATTAATGTGTCCTGGATGACTAAAAGATTCTCTTAATATAGTTCTCTGCTTCCATTCCTGTTCTGTTGTAATGCCTTGTCACCAGCAAACAGACTAATCCTTCAGCACTGAAAATAAGCATTTGCCCCATCCCTTTCTAAAGCCTCCTGCCTTCCCTGCAAGCTCTTCTTTTGATCTGGTAGCTCCCTGGTTCATCCATCTGATCTGAAGCAGCTTTCTTTATTTCTGAGTTTAGTTGCAACCACATCTGAACTTTTTTTAGTCCCTGGAATTCTCTCTGCTCAGAAGACTTTTCCCACAGCTCTTTGCTTAACTTAGCTCCTGGTCAGCCTTCAGGAGTTTCTTCCAAGACCACTCAGTCTTACACATTTTCTGAGTGCTCAGTCTTTTTTCCTTTCTAGCACTTATAATTGGTAAGAACTAAATTGATTTTGTTCTCTGCCAACTAGTGCCTAGCTAGCAAAATGCCCAACACAAAATGCTCTGTCAATAACTTGGGCAATGAGTAGAATTATCATCCAGAGAGAATATTCAAAAATCCTGATACAGTTTTCTATGGCACTTTTAAATTCATCAACTCCTATCATAATTATCTTTAATTTGGTTTTTACATGTGTATGTTGTTCTTCTGCTCCTTCTAGTTAGCCTTTTTTTTAAGAAAGTGTTGAGAATAATTTTCTACAGAAACATTACACTTTATTAGTTTTTAGCAAAATTGAGAGGATTTACCTTGCAACAATGACATCTAGGTTGGTTGTACCTGGACACTGTAAGATGGAGTATTTATTCAGGTTGGATTATTTCAGAGTGTCTTTTGAGGGTCTTTTTTGAGATTAGGAAGCACAAACAAAGCTGGGCAGAGAATGTTGTTTTGTAATGAGAGATGGTCTACCTTCAGGTATTCTCATTAGTAATTGCCTGGTCGTGCATTTACCATGAAATAAAGCTGTGAAAAGACATACCTGACGCTCACACTGAGATTGCAACCTCCCAGCTGATGTTTCTGTTCACAGCTTCTATGAACTTGAGAAAGAAGTGGTAACCCTGAAATGAATCACCGTTCTAGTGACATTCTAGTTAAAGTTGACTGGGGCTAACAAAATGTACTCCTTTGGAGCCTGAATTACGTTTAACATATAAGGAAACCACAAAATGCACACAAACAGACATGAGAAACATTAACCCTTTGCTACCCAGGAAAACTTTCTGGTAAATACCGAGTGGGTGTGTGTGGGTGGGGAGATGGGGTTTGAAGTGTTATGTAAAGTGTGTGAAAGTATGTACTTAATCTTCTGCAATAGAAGTTCTTCCGTTGGTACCTTTAGGAGAGAGCTAAATCAAAGAAGGGATTAACTCAATTATGTTACTTTATTTGCTATTTGCCTTTAAATATTTTCATTGTAGAAGAAAATCCGTTTTTTCCCAGGCCTCATAGCTATTTATTTCAAGTCTCTGCCTTCTTTCAAAGAACATCAATCACTGACTCGTTTAGTTAGTTTGTTTAATATTTTGTTTTGGTTTTTGAGAGAGTTTTGCTCTGTCACCCAGGTTGGGGAGCAGTGGCATGATCACTGCTCACTGCAGCGTCCACCTTCCATGTTCAAGTGATCCTTCCACCTCATCCTTCTACGTAACTGAGATTACAGGTATGTGCTACCGTGCCTGGCTAATTTTTGTATTTTTTGTAGAGACAGAGTCTTGGTATGTTTCTCAGGCTGGTATGGAACTCCTGGGCTCAAGCAATCTTCCCGTCTCAGCTTCCCAAAGAGCTGAGATTATAGGTGTGAGTCATCGTGCCTAGCCTATTTCATGTCAATGCTGCTAATGAGTCATTTCAAACCAATATTTGGGGATATAAGAAAAAACATATAGAGAAAGCATGGAAGGGAAAGAGTTAGATTTGAGCATATGGAGAAGAACGGTATCAGCAAGAATGTGGAAAGAAAATCGAAGCTTATAATTCCATTTTTAAAATATTCTCCATTTTATATTATAAAAATACATTTGTCCACATCATTATTTCCCACACGTTTTAAAATGTGTGTACATATCTGTCTGAGTGAATTAGAAATTTTCGTTCATTGTTGTGAAAAATTACTTGCTTCTGACTTGGACTGAGGTCCTAGCTGATCGGGAAAATAGAAACTATCCATAGAAATACCAGCTTTGTTTTTAATTTTACTTACTTCTGATCTCCATTTGACAAATTGTTTCTTTAAACTGATGAAGTTCTATTTCATATATACAATGTCAGCATTTTAAAAATGATACAGTGAGTAGAATATAGAGAAATACACTTATTTCTACAGCTTAAAAGTAGGAATAATCTGATCTTGACATGAAGTTTGGAAGAGGTGACTTCACTGTTGAAGCTGCCCTGTGTTCCACCAGACATAAATTTTAAGTATCTTTCACAGATGAATTGGCATCACTTGCAAATGGCTAGCAATAACCTATATAACTCTCCCTCTTTTTCCTCCTCTTTCTTCCTCTCCTTCACTCCTTAAAAATAAAATAAATAAAATAAATAAATAAATAAATAAATAAATAAATAAAATTTCTTGTAGAGATCTGGTCTCACTATGTTGCCCAAGCTGATTGTTAACTCCTGGCCTCAAGTGATCCTTCCCCCTTGGCCTCCCAAAGTGCTTGGATTACAAGGCCTGAGCCACCACACCTGGCCTAAACTGGTTTTGATTAAATCAGCAGACACCGTTCCCCCCCCCCACCCCCCGCACCATTAGACCATTCTCTCATTGCTGTAAGGAAATACCTGAGACTGGGCGGAGCCTAGCGGCTCACACCTGTAATCCCAGCACTTCGGGAGGCTGAGGTGGGTGGATCACCTGAGGTCAGAAGTTCGAGATCAGCCTAACATGGTAAAACCCCATCTCTACTAAAAATCCAAAAATAAAAAAAATAAAAAAATTAGCTGGGTGAGGAGGTGCTAAACCATTCATGAGAAATCCCCCCTCCATGATCCAGTCACCTCCCACCGGGGCCCACCTCCAAGACTGAAAAGAATAATAATAATAACCTATATAGCATCAATTTGAAAAACCACCGATATCACACAGCTCTAACTCTCTGGATTAAGCTGATAATTACATGTGCATTTAAATATATGAATCGTATTAGTTTTTAATCAACTGTAGCTCTTTCACATATTTCCAAATAAGACTTTTTTAGCACCATTAGGAAGTTGATGAAAACGTCTGTCCGATGCTTCATAGCACCTTCTTTAATGACGGGACCATATCTATGGTACAATAACACAACCATGTCCTTCTGGTCGGCGATGTGTTCCATCTCACAGAGACTGGATGCCACACAGCCAAACTCAGTGGGGATTAATCTCTCTATCAACTTTGAAGAAATATTTTATTAGCAAGATCAACATTTTTGAACGAAGTTAGGGAAAGTTAAAATTCTTCAAATGATACTTGTATGCTCTCATTTTATACATTGAAACAATGATTTTGGGAAGCAATTCTATTTATGGAAATTAATGAAGGAAAAATTCAAATCAAAAAACTATATACATAAATGTATTCAATACAAGATATTTAGAATATTAGATAAATAGATATAATTGGTAAGTCAGAATAGAAATAAACAGTAAACATGTGGCCAAGCTTATCAGTGGATAAATATGCACTTTTGGCGTACAGTGAGTATGGTACGCAGATATTAAAAAATACTTAAGATATAAGGGTAATGAATCTGGATGCCTGAAAATGTATACATGTATTCATACATCTTTGAAATGGTGGAAAATTACTCAAAAATCAAATTGATCTTTGAATATAAATAGTGGTATGAGATCTGTTTCATCTGTTTTCAAAATGATATTTAACCTGGTTAATATAATCATCAAGTCACTGAAGAAAGTAATTTATGGTGTGTTTTGCTCCTTAGCTGACTATATGAATGCCATCTCATTTTATCTTGTAAGAACTTGATGAGGTTATTATTATGTCTGTTTTAAAGAATAGGAAAATTTGAGCCAAAATTGGGTGTGAGATCTACTGAAGATCATACAGGTAGTTAGGAGAAGGGTTAGAACCAACTAAATGTCGAATGACTTTGGCCCAGGATCTTTCCTCTCTACAGCGCTTAAGCACAAAAGAATAACTCAGGTATTTTTAAACTTCCGCTTGGTTACAAGCTATTAATATTCTTGGTATTAATTATTTTCTTGATTGATAATCAAATGATCTGTTAATCACAGAACCAATTAAGAAGCAATTCTCATCTTTGTTATTTTTTAATAGAGCAAAAGATCATCATTTAAAACTTTTTATTTTCTTGTCAATTATATTTTTAAAGTTCTCTTTTAATCTTTAGGTTTCTCCTCCATCCCTTTCTTTTTCTCATAAATTTACTAGCTGTAGGCCATTTAATCTGCAGAAGGTTCAGTAGTGTGATTGCAATGAGAATGATCCGTATTGTAAGAAACACTATGGGTACAGTTCACCATGTCCATAGCTGTGTATCTCCTCCAAATAGGTGACTGCCTCCTGAGGCTTGATCATACTCAAATTTTGTCTTTTACAAAGACTCTTGGTGTTTTCTCTTTTTTTTTTTTCTTTCATGTGGAGACATGAAATATCTGGTTGTCTCTCTTTTTGTGATTTTAGCAGCAATATGTGCTAAATATGCCCACCCTGGAATATTCAGTAGACTATTTCTTCTCTGGGTAATTTCTGCTTGATATTCTGAGGTTTAAGATAATTTCAAAAGTAAATTTCTTTAATTATGACTTTAAGTGTCTGTTCTGTTTTCCTTTTGGTTTTCTTCTTCAGGAATTCTTATAAACTGTGTGTTGATTTTCTTTGTCAAGATGTTTTAATTTTCTTAAAATCTCTTTTAAGTCATTTATTTCACTTTTATTTTTTTTTTTCTTTTATTTACTCTAAGTTAACTTTTGGGCTTATTTTCTCTTATTTTCCTTCTAGTGTAGTCTTTCTGACATTTTCTCTGCCTTTTGGCTGAGGTCAAGTGTAGTTAGGTCATTCCGAAATTATTGCTTTTTAAATTATTTAAATGCTTTCACATGATTTTTGAGTTTTACAAATTCTGATTTGTATTTTTCTTTTACATCTTACCTTTTTAATATCTTTGAGCTTATTTTGAAATAGTAGGCTAAAACGGTAGGTTATACTTTTGACCTTTTCTTGAGCATGGATTTCTTGTGTTTCAGTTATCGTCTAGGAGGCTAGTTTGCTACTAATTCTCTTTGCCTTTAAAATAAATTTTTATGAGATTTGTCCTTCCATTGTTAGTTTTATGCAAAATGAGTTTCCTGGAGCTCTTGCAGGGAGGTGTCATCTCCTACAGGGTTTCTCACTTGACAGAGCTCTGTTTCCTTTCTTTCTTTCTCTTTCTTTCTCTTTTTCTTTTCTTTTCTTTTCTTTTCTTTTCTTTTCTTTTCCTTTCCTTTCCTTTCCTTTCCTTCTATTATTTTCTTTCTTTTCTTTTCTTTTCTTTTTTTTCTTTTCTTTTCTTTTCTTTTCTTTTCTTTTCTTTCGCGTCCCTCAGTGCCTGTCTTGCTTTCTGACATCTCCTGTCCCTTTTTGGCCACGTACTTTCACCTAGGCTGTTTCTTTCCTTCTCAGTTTCGATCCACTTCAGGCAGCCTCTCCTCACTGTGGAACCATATTCTGGAAGAGGCGCTTGTCTGACTGTCTTTGAAGTGCCTGGTGACTTAGACTCCCCTGCCCCTTCAGCACAACCACTGCACTCATTCCCGACTGGGTTGGGCAACATCCTCCCTACGTCAGTGCCCCACGCCCATCCCTAAGTTGGCCATGATGCTGTGCTTTTGAAAAACTTACACCTGGCTCTTTGAAGGGTCTTCTGTTCTCAGCCACACTACTCTGTGCTTTCCTCTGTATTCTCTGAGGTCATGAGGACCTGTGGCTGCTGCTGGTTTGTCCTGATCTGCTTGTATTTTGAGGTTCATAGGGATGTCTCATAATCTAATTTTGATTTAAGTATTGTCCACGACATTTTGGTTTTATGACCTACTTGCTCTGTGTGATTTTTACATGCGGATCCAGGGGGATTCACATCTGCGTAGTCATTGTCATCTTTCCAAAGCATCTTTTTACTTTTGCAACACCTATAAGAAGGAAATGAGTGTAAACCAACATAAAGCACTGTTTTAACAAAATGAAGAACTCTTGAAAACTACTGGTTTTCCAAGGTATGCCATCTTTCTAGTTTTTGCATAGAAGTCACAGCAAATATTACAGATATCAGACTACAGAGACAAGCTTATTACATTGATAATGTTACAGAAAACAGAAGTCAGGGTGCTACATGTAAGTCTAATCATTTTTCCCTGTTGAGCTTGCTTGAAGGAAATAAATACTTATGATGAGCAGGACCATGTAGTATTCATAGTAAAAATATTATTTATTATAAACAGGTCTTTGATAAATCTGTCCATATCAATGGTTGATAGCTCCAACTACTACACTGTATTAATATATATTGAATAAAACATTTCCTAGATATGATAGGAGGTTACAGATGACTGTCTAACAGAAATACATGCGAAGTAGGTGTGAATTCTACTCACAAAGTAAATGACAGTTTAGGAAGAGAATGCAAATTTATAAATTCCGTTTTTGCCAGGAGGCTGCCCATTTCATCTACTATGATTATTTTCTGCAGTCTTGTCTTATCATAAATTTTCCTAGGTTGGCATAATTGGAAAAAAGGTATATATATAGAGAGAATGGTGGAATGCTAAATATTTCTAATTTCCTACAAATAATTCTCCAATTCAGTTATTCCCCCAAAATACTACCTTAATCTTTTTTCCCTGCAAACTTGCAATAGTTTTTTAATTGATTTCCATGCTTGAACACTTGCCCTTTAAAACCCATTTTCCACAAAGCAGTAATTTATTTGAAACATTAATTAGAACTTGCGATTTTGTTATTTAAAACCCTCCAATGATATTGCATTGCTTGTAGAATTATGTAAAATTTTTCTGCATGGTCTAGAAGGCTACACATCATCTGAACTTCTGTGGACTGTTATACTTCCACATATATACATATATGCCTTTCAGTATTCTCCTTTCCATCAAGAAGACTATTCCTAAGCATACCATGCTCTTCTAAAATGGTTTCATTCCAATCACTGTGTTACATTTTCTTCATAGTAGTTGACAGTATCATAAATTGTCTACTTATTTATTGTTATTATTATCATTATTATGTGTTTCTTCTAAGATTCATGAGAATGGGAGCATTTTACTCTCTGTTGTTTCCCGTCTTCCAGGGGCTGATGGAGTTCTCATCATGTAACATAAATACTTACTCAACAGATGAATAGATCTGGGTTTGCACTAAGGCTAATAGGCTACCAGTTTTATAATTTCACTACCAGGTTAGTTGGCAGGATCATTTAAATTGACACTAGAAATCGAAACCAAAATGAATTAAGAGGAATAATTTTGTCTGGCTCAGGATATACTTGACCAATGGGGACATTCTAGGTACTTCCAGTGATCTGATTTGTGAATTTATCTGTTACTGCTGTACGTGGCAGCAAGCCACTCTCTCAGTAAATGTATTACTTCCATCTTTCCTCACCTTATGCTGATTTTTTATTATTACAAGCAGAAAGAAAGGAAATAAAACAGGAGAAAGCAGTAGTTGAAAAGAGGTGGAAGAGAATATGGAAAAGCTAAGAGCAAAGAACAGCATGAGAAAGGGAACATGGAAGATAGAGAGAGCCCATCAGTTACCAGTTGCACCATTTGCCTTGAGGTTAGGTTGCTTATCGGATGAAAAACAGCTGAAGCTGAATTTTGTCTGTGAAGAGCCTTCATGCAGAGAGATCTCTGGGGGCTGAGTTACTATTATTAATCAACTTGACTTTTCTTCAAATCATCATATTTTCTGACTCAAAATTTTCTCAGGCTGTCAACCTACCAAAGAGTTTCTTAATGAACTAAATAGACAACATGTGTGGGTGTAGCCATGGCTAATTTAAGTACAGTATATGGAATTTTATTATTC